GACGACGACGACGACGACGACGATGACGACGACGACGACGACGTCGACGACGACGTCGGCGACTACTATTATCTGCAGCCGCGACCGCAGATACATTTATTACGGTGTCGGATTAGGTATAATGAACTCGACCGGCGTTTAATTACGGACGGGTGAATTAAATGCGGTCGATGACGTCGCAGACCGTCGAATACCTAATTCAACCGAGTTCTCCGGCGTGCCTCGTCCGGCATGAGACGGGTTTCGGGACGAGACGAGTGAAATCTTAGTTGCCGAGGAAAGGATTAATTCGAGCGCCGTGTGAGAAAGTTGCCGGCGATCTGTAATTGAGAGGTGCCGAATGCGTATATTGTCGTTTTATTATTAAAGAAGCTTCTCGAAATGTAAAATTCTCCGAGGCGCTGGGCAAACGAGGACTTGAAAATTATACACGCATAGTGGCTTGGAAGGGGCGACGTTTAGAATTTAGAAATGCCGCGCGATGCGCCAATGAATTTAAAAGTCAAATAGCCTGGTGTCTGGGCAAGGCCGAGGGCGCGGACTCAATGCGATATGCTCGAGTGCCTAGGCTCGTCAAGCATTAAAAGTAAACTTCTTCCGGCGTCTTCGTTACTCCACCCTGACGGCTTCCTCGGCAACTCTCTACCTCCCACTTCGTCCCATATTATTTTCGTCGGCAGTTCCTCTTGGATCCGCGCTGCCGCGACATGGGCCCTTCCACACACGAGCCCTCGACATTACCCTTCGATGAGTGTGTTTATGCCGTGGCGCCTCGTCATATACTGTCGTAGCTACCGGCTATAAAAGAACCGCCGCGTCCGGTAAATTGCCGCGCACGCGTCGTGTTCCGGTCCTGTTTGTTTCTTTGTATGTTCTCTCGGCTTTGTTTAAGACGGCGTTTGCCCGAAATCTATTATTACGCGCTTCTCCGGAGAGTGTCGGCTCCTACTTTGCATGGGGCTACGAAAACGGAGCCTCACGGGGATGAGAGACGCAAAGCGCCATAAAAAGCTGAGAAAGGAATTTGGGGGGGGGGGGGTTACCGCCGCGGGCCCTGTTTTTAAAGCGACATCGTCAAACATCCCGTAAAATGTATCCCGAAAGTTTCGAGCTTGGATTTCGTCGCTCTCTATGCGGGACGATATTGTATCCATAGCAAGACATTTACCGGGACTGATATATTTTACGAAAAACTTGGGTATGCATTAACTTTATTTCAAGGACACTAGCGAGTGGGCAAGATTACGAGTCTATGCGATCCAACGTATTCGAAATCAATGATGGGAGCAGCGGAGAAACGGTGCGAGTATGTACCCACGGGCAGACACGATCTTAGTAAATAAAATAAAAGACATGTATACGTAATTGTAGGAGGATAGGGGAGGGGGGGGGGGTTTACCAAGTTGCGTTTAGCATTTCATTTTGGTAAATCGGACGTTTCGCTATCGTCGATATCACAGCGTTTTGTCGAAAGAGCTGCCTCTTGCGTTTGCTTCCCGAGGCACGTGGCAATGTACGCGCGTGGGTCAAAAAGAGGAAAGGAAATTCTTTTAGCAAAGAAAGATCTACCGACTCACGGATTCATTTAGTCTCGATGGGTGGGTTCTCACCTCTGAGAATGCTCGTCGGAAATAACGGATAGTTTTAAAGTAGGGCACGTCGGGCAAACATTGAGATGACCGGGCGATCGTCAGGAGAGGGGAGGACTTTCTTTGATAAATCGATGAGTGGCGGAGGTGATGGAAGCGCCGGAGTCTCGGTTTAGCAATGTTTACGCAGGGGCCGCGCATATTGCACCTTTCGTGCCCGCCTCTACACGGTCTCGTGCGTTTCGGCGCTGTTGAGTCACCGGGGGCGATCATTTCGTGCTAATTTAATGCCAACGTGCACGAGATAATGCTAAGAAGGATACGTTAAAGCGATTTCGCTTGGAAAGTGGCGTCGAGTCGGAAGTCAGGCAGGGAATGAGATTTCTTGCAGTCGCCTTTTTCCTCTATCACTCTCTCTCTCTCTCTCTCTCTCTCTCTCTCACTCTCACTCTCACTCTCACTCTTCCCTCGTCTGGTTTTGTTTCCCGAGTGTAGAAAGCCCGTTGAAAATCATTTGTGTGCACGCGTTAATGAAAAAATCGTCGCTAATGGAGGAAGGAGATAGTAATCGTTCAAATTTGCGACCATAGATTAACTTCTTAATTTGCTCGTGTAAGGCGTTTAAGACGTATATCTGGCGAGTTCATCTGAAAATTGCTACCTTTGAATTCCCTAGAAGTCGTGCGTTGTTAATGATGATCTTTAGAATGTTACAACCCAGTGAGCTTTTTGTAAAATTAATGCAATGTGATGTGAAGAAAAAGAAAAAGAAAAAAATCAGGCAGGGTTAAACAAGTGTTGGAGAATATATATTATTTTAATCATGAGAAGTAAGCATTTTAATTAAATACTAGCAATTAATATTTGACGAATTTGAATTTCGCATAAATTTAATATTTCAAAGCTCAAATATGAAAAATACTGTTTACATTCTAGGGTAAAATATAATTATGTATTTTAGATAAAAGTCATCGAATACGTTATCATCGTTATTATTATTGTTTTAGCTCGTAAAACGGAAGAAAAGGATAATTACAGGTTTGTAATTATTTCGATACAATACGAGTGAAAAAAAAGAATTAAAAGTAGACAAAGCACTGAAAATTCGATTGAAAATGGTTAGCAAGTCAATTCTATTTATGTCTTCGATTTGCACTGGCTGCCTACTACATGCCTATGTGTCGTAATTACATCACGACTCTTTGTAGACGCTTCATGGAGACCGTTAAGTGGGCGGGCAGGGGGGGGGGAGAAAAGAGAGGGAGAGAGAGAGAGAGAGAGCGAGGATACTTCAAATCTGTGAGCAATGAATCCAGTAGAATTGGAAAAATAAGAAAAGGAAGAACAACACAGAGCGTGTTGACATACGGATTTTAGCGTCCGCGGAATAGAGCAAACACCTTCTTTCTTCCGTCGTCGCCTCATCGACCGCCAAAGTAAGTGGGTCGAGTCGTAGTCTTGTGTGAACATCTTTTACACTTCTTACGAAACGATACTTCTCTCTCTCCCACGTTCTCTCTTTTTCCCACTCGTTTCTCTTCATCTATCTATCTATCTATCCATCTATCTATCTATTTATCTAGCTAGCTAGCTAGCTATCTATCTCATTCGTTCCCTCACTCTATCTCCACTTCGAGTCACACTCACACGCGGCCAGATTGCGAGCGCCGATCAAATGCTTCTTTGTCCGGGACGATAAGCGAGACCGGCTCATGCGCGTCCGAGCTAAAAGCGTGTCTGTGCGCGCGGTAGCGCCCGCGCATTATCTCCCCGGGGCATCGGGCGAGCGTTTCGCCAATAATCGCACTTAACGAGGCCACTCTAACAAGAGGAAATTGGCCGCGAGCTTATCTGCCCGTGCACGGGCTACGGGGATTCGCTGCCTCGTCGCTTAGAGTGGAATTACACCCTGGTAAAGCGTCTTTCTCTATTGCGAGCATATTTTCGTTGTCAGGCAGTTTTCCTTGTCTTCGAGCAAAGACGTGACTGGCGTGAAGAAGAGATCTGCTTTTGAGCGATCGACGCTGGCGCTGTTCGGGCAAATATTCCGAAACACTTCTCCAATAAACGATGCTGGCAACAGCTGCGTTCTATTTCCAATTCATTTAATTGGCGCGTTAACGGGGTATTATGAAAAATTAAGTTTCATTTATTTAATATTTACGCCGCGTCGATGTTATCTTTTATTCGCCCAAGTAGCTCTTCCAACATTTCCGTGAAATTTCCGTATTATGTGACGCGAGACCTATTAAAGTGGCAAGAGGAAGCATAATAGTTTGAAATACTCCTTAATGATCGTATGAAACAGCATTAGAGCATTACTTACGGCTTTAAGCATTTTAGGCGTAAACATGTGAACTTATTAGACATTTCAGCATCACAGAGTATCAAAATAGCTAACTACGTGGAATCAAGATTTTAAACTAATTCCATATGGTGAGAGCGGGGAATCCCGGGTAATTCCGTGCGCGGAAGTAGAGAGAAATTATGTTTCCACAATATTATGTTTCTACAAGTGAACACGTATTTTTTCCGAGCGTGGTTTGAAAATAGATTAAAGCACGTTTGGCTTAATCTCCTGTCAAATCGATAGCTCGGATAGAGCCGCAAGTATAAAATATCGTTTTACCCAACCCATTCGCAATACAAAATTGAGACTTGCGGTGGCGGTAGGGCTTGGCAGACTCGGGCCCACGCTTTGGATGAGCTTATTCAGCCGAACACGCAGTCATTCGGTCGATCGGAATACGGAGAAAGCCGACCAGCGGGAGTAGCCTAAAAATGGAGTAGCGCGAACTGCCTGGAATGGCGGGGGACGAGTGGGGAGGGGGTTCATGAAAAATCGAGCACGTTCTTACAATCTGTCCCGAAGTCTCGGTCTAGACGAGGTATTATCGCCAAGAGTTTATCCTGCTGGTCTAACAAACCATATTCTTTAAGTAGATAATATTGCTCAGCGTCAGGACAAAATAATCCACCGAATTACGTATTTAAAATGTCGCATATTCGCATTCCAGCGCCGAGAAGCACATCTGCGAAAATGCTGTCTCGTACATTTTACACGGGAGTATTTACCGAGCGAGATACTGCGAGGAGAGAGAAAAATTAGCCACGGCAGATTTAAATACGTTTAAAGCGGGGCACGCATAAGCAAACATTTTCGTTGGAACTTACGAGGAAATAAAATAATAATTGTTGGGCCCTACCACGAGGCTTGGTGTGAGAGCCGTCGCCTCTCCTTAACCCGATACGCGCAGTCGTAAAACGCGCTAAACGTCTCGACCGCTGGAGATGCTTTCGCGAGAACGCATTTGTTTTCTCTATAGTTTTTTTCGGCGAGGCAGGTGAGGAGGAGGAGGGAGGTCGGTTTTCTTCGACTGCCCGCGGCTTCGGAGTCGACGGCTTTAAAGGAGATTTCTGCACTTCGTTATGGTGTATTTTCGCCGCGGCGTTTATTCCCTGCGTGTTTATATTCTGGAACGTTAACGCGGGCTCTCGGAGCGTTGACTGGCCGTCGGAAAGCCCGACGAAAATAGAAAATTACCTCGTTGACAGGAGATTCGTGGCTTGAAAATACGGTACGATCAAAAAACAAAAAACAAAAAAAAATAAACAAAAAGGAATTGCTCGCCCCTCGCCTTCTTTGTATCCCTACGCGTCTTCTCTGTTTACTCGCTGAATTTTTATAAATTTTCACTCGTGATTTATGTTCATAAATAATTCCCGACATCTTACGACTTTGATGAAAGTACTGCAATAGGCCATTTCTTGTGGCTTTGGTCGTTTGGAAAAGTAAGCCGTTCCATTTATCGGGTAAAATTGTTTGAAAGTTTTAAATAAAAGTGCCGCTAGTTTTACGGCCCCACTTATGCAAACATCTCCCGGTACTGCGAAAAAGTGACGGCCAACTTTTAGATTTTATAAAGTACGCGTCGCTTAATTTAATTACACGCCTATCGAGTAATTATAAAGTCAGCTCTTATATTGCACTTGCCGTTAATCAACATAAGCTCGATAATAATTGCATAATCGTATCACGCTTTAGCAGTACATTGCTCAAGTAATTTTATACTTTCGAATCACGCGACCGATTTGTATATGTAGCGAGTGCCGCCAACGCATCATCTGGCCAACGATTCAACGACGGTCTGTCGATCATCGATCTTGCAGCACACTTGGAATGTTTATTGACTTTCCGGCATGCGCGATTGCTAGAGCCGATGGCCGGAAGTGTCCCACACATTTATCTCTTCTTTATTGACGTCAGAGTATCGCTGACCATCCTAGGCGAAACTGAAGATAGTTGCCGTGATATGATGCTCGATTCGAAAGTTTATGTGGCGCTGAATCAGAGCATTCTCGATTGAAATACACTGGGGATCGATCTAAATTTAATTACGTGCACCAACCGAATTTGAAAGTTGTACGAGACGAATAATCCTCGATATGTAATGGGGCATACGAACTTGTTACGTCGAGCTCGAGCCTCATTTTCCAAACTTTGGATATGTTACAATCCTGAATTGCAGATGTAATAATTGGCAGGTAGATTTCAAAAGATGTTGTAGCTTATGAATTTGAATTTAGCTTAAGTGGCCATTCTTAATACATTGCACGTGCACGCTCAATACGCATTCAAATGATACAAACGAATTCTGGTTATTTTAACCTACGAGGAATAAACAACCATTCTTTAATATAATCTTTGAAAAATCTTTTGCGGTAATCATTGCGGTGCTCGCTACATATAATATTGAAATATTACATAAATAGTTTATTAATTCATGCACTAGACGTAACCACAATTTACATTTGAAATAATATTCTGTCACAATGAGTTCTAATAAAAATAATGATTGCTGTTTTGCAGTATAATGCAAACATACCATACAGGCTATTAAGCTCAACTTTGCACTTTAATAAGTCTTGAATGACGGAACTTTGTTTGAAAAACTTTTATAATCGATACTGTGAACTGAACAATTGAAATTATTTTTGTATATCAAATGAGGTACACTTTTTTTATAGAAAACTTTCGTTCATTATGTTCATAAGCAAATGTTTTAAGCGATAGCGAGCAATTGGTCTTTATGACTAAATGGGTCAGTTTTGTCATTATCTAAGTCATTTACTTCTGTAAAACGAGAAAAACAAAGACGAAAATGTCTAATTTATGATGGGATACCGAGTGTTTGATCAGCTTAAAAAACTGTCAATAAAGTCTGGAAACGTTACATGGTCACAAGATGTCGGATGGTTGGACACGTAACCTTCGCGCGATGAAACTTTTGTATTTGTTAGACAACATATGTCCTTAAAATTTTTTTATTAAATTTTTCCTATTAATTTATGCATGTGGATAAAGTCGAATTTTTTTTTATTTTTTTTTTATTTTTATAGAAAAATCAATACGTTTTTATAGCTTATACAGCATTGCGATTATCCTTGTCCGTCCGCATTCATAATAGAATTAGACTTTAATGTTCGAGGAACTTCGTTTGAAAACGTGTTATATCATCGATGCTGTTTATAAAAATGTATCGCTATCTGCACCTACGAGCTAATTAAATGCGCCTACCAATTATACTCACTGTATATTATCTACTTATTTTTTTGCTTTCAGACGGAAATATCGAAAAGACTCAATGCCATTATTGCGCAAATATTGCCGTTTCTGTCTCAAGAGCATCAGCAGCAAGTGGCTACTGCCGTCGACAGAGCAAAGCAGGTTACCATGACAGAATTAAACTCGATCGTTGGGGTAAGTTTGGATAAATTTAACGATGTTTCCATTTGGCTTATTTAGGCAAGCGTTATTCTGGAATAGCGCAATGCTAACTCTGAATCGTTTTCAAAGCGCAACATCGTTCGGCACGTCAAGACCTTTATTAAAATTTCTATTAGATGATACGATCATTCCAAAAACTGAAATCTCTTTTTAATTCACCGTTTTTTCGTAAAACCGATCAACCACATTATTTACAAATGTGAAATCTCCTTACGTATCATTAAGTTTTCGCGTTGCTTATTTGCAACTTATTTACAACAAAAACGCGCGATCACACTTTGCAAAATGCCATTAAAATTAAAAATGGTAAAATAATGTAGCTTTCCTTAGCATTAAATTATTTGTATGAGTATAGTAAATGCATATTGCATAAATCTCTTTGTCCTTGCAAAATGTTTATCACGGAAAATCGATATTACAACAACTTGGCGTTTTTCATCATACAAGGATGCGAGAAAATACGCAACATCCGAATGCCATTAGTCGTTACGGATATCGCGGACGCGCGAGAAAGTAGCCGCAGTCTAGGTAGCATTAGGATTTAATAAATAGTTGGGGCCGTAAAATATTGTTCCCCTCGCTCGGGGGTACTTTACCATCTCGTTATCGCCATCGAAGTATAATATATCGACGTTTTGCTCGGCGGGCCGTATTAAGTCGGTCTTAGTCAGGCGCAACTTCCGCGGACCGCTTCATGAAACATTCATTTATTCAAATGCGAGATTCTCGCTACGTACGGCTATGCGATCTGGCGACGTACTCGCTCTCTTAACCACGACAATAAAATCATAAGTTAAATAAGCCCGGTGAAAGTGGGGAGGAGTCGTTAAAGGGCGCCAAAGCGAGGGAAACGCAGCCGTAATTAGCCGGCGCGTTAAATCGTATTTGGCGCGAGTCTATGCACGTAACGACCCACCCTTTCTCCCTACCTCAACGTCCCCCAATCATTATCAATCAGTCCGGGCGGCAACTTCTTCATTTTACATTTCCGCTAAATTTCCCAGACGGTTCGTCACTTTTATCGCGCTCCATATCCCCTTGTAGTCCACGGGAGTAAAGTATTTGAAAAGAACGGAGCGAAACACCACATAGTTACGTAATTTATTGGACATTCGTAAAGAGCCGATAAACGCGCGGATCAATAATGCAAAATTGTAGCTTGGTACTTGAATATTTAAAAAAATATATTTTAATAATATTAATAAGTTGTTTGACTTTTGTATTAAATACATTGGATTATAAATTGATGTTGCGTTAGAAAATGGCTGTATCATTCCGCCATAAGGTTCCGTAATCCATACTCGACAATTTAACCGCAATCAATAATCAAAGTTATGTATATATTTATATATGTTATGTATATCATGTATATAAGTTATGTATATGTATTATATATATATTAAAGATAAATAATTGAATTTTCTTAATACACCAATAGGCGAAATAATGATAATTATTAATTCAGCGTGGAAAAGCCTCAGACAAATAAAGCATTGTTTAAGCTTGCAAAATATGAATATGAAAAAGTTCCGTCCCCCCACTCCGCCCACTTCCATTCCTTCAACTATGTTGCTCTTTCTCTTTCTTGCCACTTCGTATCCCTCGTGCTTCATTTTCCGTATTTCATCGCGACGCGAACTTATTTAGCAGTCCGCAGGCGAATTACCGCGTGTGCGCAGCTCGATAAGCAGTAGCGGCGCGGCAAAATTGGCATTCGACCGTCGCCTCGCATAATTGAGTTCCGAGTTGCTTCTCGACAGACACGACGTGAATAATTCTATCGTGCTCGTTTCTCCCACCAGTCTCGTCCGCTCTCGCCCCCTCCCTATCACCCTCCCCACCCAACTACTCTTGTCTCGCTCGCTCTCCCGCTTCTGCTTCCTCTTGGTTACCTCGAGCTTTATTAGACGGAGAGTCGCGGTATAATGCGCCTGTCGAGTGCACTCAGAAAGCGATCCTCTCGCGGCAAATGGAATTATTTTAACTCGTTCGGCGCTGTTTAACAATGCGCTCGTGTTGGCGCGTGCTTTTCCGACATTACACTTAGAGTCTAATCTGTGCCATGTTTTTAATGACTTTAAGCATACGGAGAATTTCTCTTTCTTTTCGATGAAATTCAGTTTGAAATTAGCAGCGTATATAAACGTCGTACGGTAATAAATGTGGAGCTCCCTGTCACTTTGCAAGATATTATTCATGTTTCGTGTGATTTTGTTGGGATTTCGTTTGAAAAAACTATACGCACATATGTCATGTAATATGTGCATAGGACGATGACGAATATAGTGCATTTCAGTATATACTTACATAATTAGCCGTCGTAGAGCAAACAGATTTATGTTTATGTTCAAGGGGGAAAATATTTCAACTACAGATATATTAGACGAATGTATCGATAGAGCAACGGTCGTTGGAAACAACAACAAGCCATTTAATTAATAATAAGCAGCACAATCGATTAATGGATTTCATTTGTAAAGTGGAGCATAGGGTTTTAAAAACAGTTACATTAATAGAGCTTTAGTGAGGATGATAATTATTTCATGAAATTTTATATAAATCGTGAATTCACCTACTCGATTCTATTATACGTACGTTTACGTAGAAAGTTAAATTATCAGCATAATTATTTCTATTTTCAAAAATTTTACACCTATTTACATTCTGGCATATTGTATAGGAACGCGATTTTAAACGACAACGAATATGACTCAATGTCAAAAGAATTAGAAATAAATTTTTTTCTATAAAGAAATGTGCTTTTTATTATTGTGGCTTAAGATTATCGGCGATTTGTCATGTTAAATAATTTAATTCGCATGTATTTGTGATAGCATTGTTAACGGACTAACCTGCGAAGATAACCTACATTTCCCGACGCTAAGTGCGATTTTATCTATTTATTAATAAAAATTTTATTGCTTGTTGATGAAATAAAATTCATTCGAAAAGTATATAATTTATAGATTATTACAAATACTTTTTAATTGCAAACACTAGTACCAATTTTCAACAGTATAACTTCTAGCATTAAATATGCCTACTTCTCGTTTTAGACACGCTCGCAATTCTTTCATTCCGATTATTCCGAAAGTTTTTAAGTCGTTTTTAAACTAGTTTAATTTCTTAATCACGGCATTGCAAAAATTTATGATATTTTACCTTTTCTTCTTCTTTTTTTTTTTCATTCATTCATTCGTTTATTTTTGTTTTTATTATACTTTTCAGCCAATATAGCAGCATCAGAAAATTTATCATATCCAATACCTTAAACTTTGTAATAATCTTTAATAACAAGTATCATGATTAAAAAAATAAATCATAAATATTATATATTTGACTCAATCTGAGGTAAATATAATTGATTGTACAAAACAAATGGAATTGCCGTTTATTCGCATAAGCATATCAAATTTTCACTGTAAGCATTATTTATAAAGGATTGTACGCATTCAGACATAAATTGCAAGAATCGTCGCCTATCCATTCCTTTCTATTTCGCAATGTATTCACAGTCATGAAGGCGAATGCAATAATCATTAATATAAAGATTCTTAAATTTTTACCCACGCAGCGTGATTATATAATTATATATGTTGTGGCCTCTGTCCAAACTTGAATATCAGAACGTTAATAAATTAAGATCTGCAATTAAAATACAAATAGTTATTTGGTGCTATTAAAAGGGAAAAGGAAAATCTTGATGAAACCGCGAGCACAACTGTACGAGTGTATCTCGTTTTCCAAGCAAGACATATGGATATCG